CCCCCTCTTATAAACCTCATCTTGTACAACACCCCCATGGTGAATTTCCAAAGTGCAAAACTCACCCTTATCTGCAAATGAAGCAGTAGTCTCAGTTCGACACCAATTTTTAAAATCTCTGCTCACCTAAATAAAGACAAATCACACTAAACCCTACCAGTAGACCACAAATCTACCAGTAGGACCACCAAATGTGCTAGTGTGTGCAACTATGCAATCAATTCACATATATCAAACCAGTAGGACCACAAACCCTTAAATTCAACAAGGATAGTAGGACCAAGTATGCACTCAATGTTTGACCAAAACACAAGGTATGCGTTCAATGTTGACATAAAGACAAAAGAAAACAAGAGAGACAATAACAAAACCCTCAATTGATGCACAGTTCGAGCAGACACAGACAGAATTCCAAAACAACAAAAAGCAATTAACATATCAAAAAACATTCCTAGTACTTCCATTAGCATCGCATACCGTATATGGAGGGGTCTCCAGAAGTCCTGAATGCAAACTCCATCAAAGTTGTCGACAACACCTATTGACCCCACAATGAGATAACCAAGACGTATCGACACCAGACGACCTTAATACACAATGACCCAGACAAAATCAACTCAAACTCTTTAGTTTTTCTGCTTTTGTCTGAAAGCTTCGTCTTTTTCTTCTTCAGCTTTTTCGTTCGTACAAGAGTTCTTTTCTTCTTCTTTTTTGGTCTGAAGTACAAGAGTTCCATTATACTCGTATTAGAGATCCTAAAAGGGTAAAAACCTTTTTTGTCCCTCAAAACCAACCTGAAAAGACCCAAATACCCCTAAATATAACGAAAAAACTAACATAAGTAACGGTGGGACTAGTAATTCAAACGAAACTTAAGTTGCGGGACCGTGGGCACCATTTTGAAAATTGAGGTACTCAAATGAAAATTCGGTCAAAGTTGGGGGACCAATAGAACCATTAACCCTTGTTTCTTATTAAACCCCATATATCTTTCCATAGAATCAATCTTCTTGGTTGCAACTTGTATCTTAGATTCGAGTGAAGCAATGAGCTTAGTCAATTCGTCCTGCGAAAAATCATCTATTCGATCGTCCCGTGTCGGGTACTCCTCCTCAGAAATCTTCTTCCCTAAATTTTGAAACTTTGTCAGGTATTCCCCCTCAAAAATCTTCTTCCCTAAATTTTGAAACTTTTCGTCATCGTCATCGTCATATACGTGATCTTTCTTGTCCTCATAAAAATCGGACATATCAAAGTTTCTCTTCAATCCGGACGGGGACATATCCTTAGAATCCTTGTACTTGTTGAGAACTAAAAGAATTGCAACTTAACTAAGAGAGGCATATTGTGGTTTATTTCTTAACTAAAAGAATCCAAGGGCAAATTCAAACAAATTTGAATGGAGAGACTTTCAAAATTTTCAACCAAGTGAAACTCTTATTCAATTGCATACAAATCAAAATCTTCTCTTGGCTTTGAAATTCAGTTGTTTTTCAGCCAACAGACTAACAGAAAAGGCATATTTCACTATCCATATTCACTACTGCTTAATATGCGCGCACATTTGTTTCTATACTCTTCCACCATCTCCTCTTCCGAATCGAGTTTGCCTCCGAAGGAACATTTGTTGTTTTCTTTGCCCCCCCGATGGGGACAGGGACAATCCGATTGTTTTCTTTGCTTCCGAAGAGGAGGGACTTACTCCGATGGGACTCTTCTCCTTTTTCAGGATTTACACTTCCGATGGGACAAAGGGATTTTTCCTCACGATGAGAACCTTGTGTGTTAGAGGCTCAATTATAAGGAGTTCACTCACAGCCCAGTGGATCGATGTGGGACAAGCTTACCCACAGCCCAGTTGGTGGAATGGTTGCATGTAAGCCAACCCAGCTGCAGAAATCAATGGAATCAGAAACCAAGTGTTTTTTTTTTTCTCCTTTTGCTGTCAAAATCAGAAACAGAGTTTCGTTTATATAAAGAACGCATAAAAGAAGAACCAAATACAGAAGCCACTTCAAAAATTAAGCTTCACTGTGAGTGTTGGATAATGGATGAGTGAAAAGGTCAAACAATTTTGGAAGTGTGAATAAAAGAAAGAAATCATATCACGGAGAAAAATAAAAACCCATCATTGTCTTGGTGTCGGAAAAATTGTAGTGGATGCATAAAACTCTAAACACAATTTTGAATGTTAATAAAAAGGCGAAGATGTCATTACAGGGAAGAAAAAAAAAAGACAAAGCTTCACAGTGTTGGAAAAAGTTTTGTGGACTATTTTTTTCCAAAGTCTTCAAATGAATGTGCTCATTAATTTTTTGACTCGCACATTTTGGTCTCTGTCATCGTATTTTGTCAAAATTTTCGAAGAAATTTGTCGCGTGACAATACATGACACAATCTATTAATCCATGACACAAAGTACAGAAAAACTATATATCGGAAAAAGAAAATAACTTCAAAATGAGAACATTTCAAAAATTCAGAGGCCACTTGTGATAGTGTGAAAGAAAGCTCCATTTGCATTAGTGTTGGAAAATTTTCTATGGACAAGACAAGACCAAACCATTCAAACAACTATGAAAAGCGGGCATAAAAAGGAAGAAATCTTATCGGAGAAAGAAAAGCTTCAACACTGCGTTAGTGCTGGAAAAAAATTTAGTGGATGAATAAAAGTTGATAACAATTCTCCAAGTGGTTTGCCAATTTTAGTGGATGGAGAAAAATTCAACATGGGCTACAGATGAATCTGTATGCTTGTTTTCATACTCCTCGAGACTGATTTCTGATCATGCCCTGCAAAGATGGAAACAAATTTGAACATTATTTAAATATAGAAAACATAATATATATATATGGAAAATTTAAGTCGCATGTGATTAAAAAAGACCTCGCGCGCACGGAAGCGCATACGAAGAGAATAGTATAAATGAAAGAACTTACAAGAAATTAAATGAGCAAACTGTATTGTGGTAATGCTGCACCAAGAGTATTGAGATTGTTGAAAGTGAAACACAGAAATGGAGTTTACTTATTCCCTTTCCACATGTCGTCTTCTTATTGGCCAGCAAAATATGTGTTCCCACAATTAGTGTGGCATAGTGTATCTGCACAATGGAGCAAGAAAGAGCCACGCCAGAGAGAGAACTAACGAACCTATGAGTGCCTCTTTACTTATTCTCTCAACACAGGATTGTGTAGATGCTTGTTTTCTTCGCTTCCGAATGGACCTTTTTCTTGTGGGACAAAGGGATTTTTTTCCAATGGGACCTTCGTGTCGAATTTCATGGATTTCAAGGACATTTCTTTCCGAACGACCCTTTATCCGTATTACACGTGAAGAACATGTAACATACACATACATAAAATTTTATTGAGGGATACCTTTAAGGGTCTTTTTAAGATCACTAACATACATACCAAACCTAAAGATATCTCGGGATCCCTCAAATAAGGATACCTTTCAAGGTCCATTACGATTTTTTTTTTCAACAATTCAAATAATATATTTGTCATGTCATTATTAAGAGATCATCCTTACAAAAAATTAGATAAATTGAAATCATTTAGACATCTAGTTGTGATCAACAAAATAGACGACCATGGTTTTTCAAGAAAACACTAAAATAACTACCATTAATTAAATGATCAAATGATTTTGAATTCAAGTGATTTTTTTGCAGAGATGATCTTTGAGGAAATATCGAAAGGATAGACTGTTCATATAATTGAAATTCAATGTCGAGTGGTCCTACAAGGTTATTACTCAAAGAAGATCAACTGAATTTCTATATCTTATTTGCGTTAGTTTCGTTTATTTGTTCGCTCTTATGCGTAAGTAGATCGCTGGAAATTATATTTTCCCCAAATCGGTTACTGATGCGATGATGGGTATGGCCGCGACGTCGCTTCTTTAGGTGGTGGCGATATGGTTCATCTAGGCTCATGGATTGTTTTAGGGTTTGGGTTTGTGGGCTTTGTTTGGGCTTATGGTTAACTGTGGTAATGTGGACTAATAGTTTTAGTGAGACTTTTGTTCACGTTAGTTTTGCTTTTAGCATATTAGTTTGTTGCCCTCTTGGGATTAGTATTTTAGACGTCTTGTTAATGTCTTTGATTGTACCGTTGAAATTTATCTAATGAAATTTTTATTTGATTATAAATAAATAAAATTCTATATCATGTCAAAAATAAACATATGAATGCATAGGAGAGTGCACCCTTATGAAATGTGAAGAAAAAGATAAAAGGAGAGGCACAATTGTAGATTCAAAACAATCAACTATCAAGATATCAACCACTCACACATCCTCATACTTTTTTTATATTGAAAAAAAATGAAAAAAGGACTTTAATAGAAATCTAAAGGCCTAGCAACACACATTGCATTAGCACCCAAAATAACTTGGGTCAAGATAAAAGCATGATTTGTGGCTTATTCTAAACAAATGAGCCTTTGCTTGGTACCTAATAAAAAAGAAAAAATCAACTACTGATTTGTCAAAAAATGTTTCAAGGTATCTAATCAATATTTTCTTTATAATTTCAATAAAATCAGAGGAAGATTTTATTAGGAAAATTAAAGCGCAATATAACTACATGAGGGATGAACGCCAGAGACCACAAAACTCACTCCAGTTTAGAACACTTCTGTAATCGGTAATCCTACACACATTCTGTGATCTACTCTCACCTGTACAATCCTCTAAACTTCAACAGCACCAATCATGGAGAGAAGAGAAGAAAGGGAAGGAAAAACCTTATATAACTTAACAGGGAGGAGAAAAAGTAATTTAAAAAAATTGACATGAGCATGCACTGCAGACCCTCCTAGGGACCAAAACAAAATGAAGTTCTCCAATTAAGCACACATTTTGTTCCCTTGGGGCATTCCAAGTCCTCGAGAGTAAGGATGGAGGTATCAAAACTGCATGTAGACCAGTTCTAGTTTAAGCCTTCTGAAATGTGCGTGAAGAAACTCCATGTAGTAGTCTAACAAACCCCAGAAAACTAAGTTTTCCATCCGAGTGTCTTATCCAGTCCTGGAGAACAACGTGAACTGGTACAGATGGGCTAAGCCCCAATTCCTGAAAATAGAAATTTACGGGGGAAAATGTTTAGCATAAAGAGGGTTTTTTATGTTCTATTTTTATTCACTGAGAGAGAGCATACCGAGGCAAGTTCCTCTATCATAATTGGTCTGTTTCCATCCTTCTCAAACAGCTCATATGCTCGTCTTGCATGTTGCTCCCAGCTCTCCATCCCTTCCAGCTGATGCACACTTATGGCAGCTGCACAAAATTCTTCAAAATCCAGCTTTCTATATCGGATAGAGCTGATCTGCAAGACACATATATACGACTGCAAATTCAGCTGTAATTCTTATTGTACAGAGACTTTTTATTAAGATAAACTAAAAGATATGTGAACTTAGAGATATTACCATGTTGACATAATCTAGAACCCGTGAATCTTTCATGGCATCAGTTGAGTTCCTTATTACACCCTGCTGAATGCCAATGTCAGTTCTAATGACTTCATAAATTATTAACAGAATACAATAGTTAGGAAAAAGTGCTGACCGTCTTGAAGTTCTGCATAGAGATGAATCCACTTTTATTTGGCCCTAACAGTGTAAATTGGTCCCGGAGATAAGCCAGCTGTGCTACACTTAATGTCTTTGCAAGAGTCTGTCAAAATGGCAAAAGTTTTTCACTCCATTTTGGTATTGCTTTAAAGGAAAATTTCAGATATTTACACCAATGACATGTGCTGAATAAGATAAATGAATGTGCAAAAGTATTCCTAAAATATTCATCACTCCAAGGCATTACTTTTTTTACAAAGTTGAGATAGATACAAAGAAATTATTTCAATAAGCGATTCTCAAAGATTCTATTCTTTTAGTTATTCCTCAGTTTCTCTTTCAAAATCAGCCCTGACAACCACTACAATGTATAGGTTCCCAAACTCGACTGTTATACCAAAAGCTAAAAAAGAAAAGCTTCGCTTCAACTCAACCAAAACCTAGAGAACTGCCATAGGAGACATCACGAGACAAATTTGAATAATACTCATGAAACCAAAATGATGAAAAGGAAGAGGATAGAGAATAAAAATAGAACAAAACAATGAGGCACTAGTTAAGAATAAACAATTAATTGCAATATTTGAAGACATTTCAATTTCAGTCAGGTGCAAGACACCAACAAAGAGAAAAAAGATTAATAAACTTATTACTGCGTACCCCTAATGCTGATTTTCGTAGAGCAGATGAGCATATATAAGCTTTAACAAGTTTGTACACTATCATATCCATCGGTATCTTGACCTCGTGACAGTTGGCTAACCATGGGTGACCTGATTAAAAAAAATTGGCTGTCAGTATCCGAAATTCCAACAAACTTATGAATTTATGATGCAGAAAATGAAATCCATCACACCACCCTTAGAATAGATTGAAAGAAAGAGGATCTTCCTCCCCTCCATTTAAAGTTCAAATAGAGAATAAACGTTTTAATCTACACAGTTCAAGCATCTCAGGCCCGCTGCCATTCAGGAGAAGCCCAAAGCATGTCACAGTTAGGATTAGCAACTGGCCCTCTCCATTTGATCTTCAAAAGGAGAGAAACCTTTCCCAAAGAAAGAAGCCAGAGTGCTATCTCCCTTCTCTCAGATTATTAACTGTTTTCATTCCAGAATTTGTTTCACAAGGCTTTGACTAAATGTGGAAAAAAAAACATAGATAGGAGCAAGTTCTCATCAGAAGTACCCTTTACTAAACATAATCCTATAGTGGGTGTCAAAAGAAGGGCCCTGAGCTTGGTGACTTACACAAAGCCTGAGACGCGGTTAGCCTCTTACGGTAATCCTTGTTCAGCAGTCTCTTTACAAAATCTCTCGCATCAGATGATAGAGAAGGCCAAGGAGCTTCATCAAAGCTTGGATCAGCCTTTAGTACAGCTCGGAAGATGCCAGACTCAGTCCGGGCCCAAAAGGGTCGGCTTCCACACAAAAGGATATAAGCAATTACACCAATACTCCACATGTCTGCCTCTGTCCCATATGACCTGTGTAGAACTTCAGGAGCTACATAGTATGCACTTCCTACAATATCATTCAGTCTCTCATCTGCACAAACTTAAGTATTAGAGCCCAATCTGGCGTTTAAAATTAACTAGAGCAGGATTTATCTTAGGCAGTAGTCCTGAGTCCAAACCTGGTTTTACATAGTCAGAGAGTCCGAAATCAATGGCCTTCAGGGGGGACTTCTCATCACTTGAAGTGAAAAGGAAATTCTGGAGCAGAAAATACCAAATCAAGGTTAAAAAAAGAGAGAATGAGGCAAAAGAGAACAAATATAGTCAAATAAGGAATTGTATCTATCACATCATTAAATCAATAATCAATTTCAGACCACAAAAGAAATTCAACAATCAATAGATTGCACGTAGGTGCATTTATCCAGAAATTAAGAAAATAAACAATGCATGGATGCAGTTAGAAAAAAATCATTTGTCTTCAGAGTTGTCAGTGATGCAGGATGTGAGCTGCCTCTAACTCGTATTAATCAATGCACAGTTGCTCCCACAATAGCGAGAGGTATAATTTAGATTAACCACTAATGCAGGCAATGAAGCACTATGTATCCAATATCCATGGGAAGACCCTGTATGAAATTCTAGCGCAACAAAAAAAGTGAAAGGTAAGAATCCTAAAATTAATCAAGTTAAACCTAAAGCTGTTTGGCAATTCAAGATATTGCTCAATGGTATAAACAGCTGGTGCCAATGGGATAGGTGACATTCAAATCTAAGAGTAAAACAGTAGAAGGGGAAAATATTATTATTATTATTATTATTATTATTATTATTATTACCTTTTTTTTTTTTTAATTTAAATTAATTTTGAGCATATGCAGATGCCTCGACCTAAGAAAATCAAGTTAAATTTTTACCTTTATGCAACTTCTAAGTTAGCATGTATTTAGGGGCTAAGTCTGTTGATACTCAAAAACTGAAAGATATTTGTGAATGAACTACCTCTGGCTTGAGATCGCGGTGAACCACGCCTTGGAGATGGCAGTAGGCAGTTACACTTAAAATCTGAACCATAACAGCCTTTGCATCATCTTCTGAATATTTGCCACCCCTAGAGAAGAGAAATGGGAATTCAGCTAGTTTGAAAGGTACAGAACAGGCTAGTGACTTCCAAAAAAGAAAGAGTTGCGTTCTTCCTTGTGACACAAATGAAAAGATTGTAAGAGCAGGTACCTTGAAAGTATGCTATCCAATAGTTCACCTCCTTTGCACAACCTGGAGAACATAACATTGATTAAGCTCCAATATCTTAAAAGTCTAAAATTATAGCAACAAATGCCTTGCTGATGGCCTACTTAGAATAATTTTACTACTAATATATATCGATATATATACGTATCTATATATCTATATATAGTGCTTTCCTTGATATCCAGCTGAAAAGGAAAAATGAATCACGTAATTGATTCAGCACTTGTTACTAGAAATGATCACGCCCCCAATAAAAATTGTATGCCTTTTTTTTTTGTTTTTGGGCAGAAAAAAATTGTATGCTTTTGGGGTCAAATCTGACCAGGTTTTAAAATTATTCTGCTCGCCCATCTCTGTTTTTGTAGATTGCACATCTAGATTGATCATACGGGTAACTTAGCCATGTCCAGATTAAACTTATGTTTCAAGGCACCATGATTACATAGCATCTAAATCCTAATGGCTTTGGTGTCAAAAAAGACACTTGCTAAAATAAGTATACATTGTTATTAAGGGGACTCATATGTATGCACGTTGTCACATGTTCAACGAGTTGCAACTTTGACACCTGGTACTGATGCAACCAAGCAGAAGAAGAAATTCAGGAAGTCGTATCAGCATCTTAAGCCAGTATTAAGAGAACTAAAATAAGCCAAAGGCATCCTATGACACAGAGTAAGATGCATATTCAGAAAGTTAAAGCAATCATAACTTACTCCATCACCACATAAACATTGTCATCATCTTCATAGGCTTCATAGAACTGCACTAGGTTCTTATGTGTTAGTGCCCGTAGGATCTTCACTTCTCTTCTTACATCCTCTATAGCAATTGCCGTTGTCATCTGCAGAAACATCTTTCATTAGTGTATGTTCACAGTCTAATAGTATGACATGGAAGGAAGTATGGGTCATCTAAAGATCCACATTGTAAGAAATGTTGATAGCAACAGAGAAGAAATCTATGAAGATTTTGTCTGCGTTGCAGTTATGATTTATTGTCATTGCCATTACAATATCCTAGTTTACTACTTTTGTTCAGACTAAGCCATGATCCTTCACTATTTAAAAGCCCTGAAGCTATCGACACTGAGCATAGATTGATACATATACACTTATCACCTTGATATAAAATAACATCTATAACGAGCCACTTAAGAGGGGCAAGCATACAGTCTATATCACACCCAAAGGACTAACAAACACAACACACAAGTTGAGTATGCAATATTCTCTTGAAGATAAAGTCTAATAAACCTTTACATCCTCAATATCCTTCTGATATTTCCAGCATAAGCTAACACGGACGACAGTTACTCAACATCAGATATGCTAAAGATGCGTCACAGCTCACTAAAATATATAAAACAACAAGACGAGTTATAGGAGATATGAATTAAGAATATTACCAACAGGATATTAAGGTCATATGGTCCCTAGTTAATGAAACATGTATGCATATGCACCTAAGCAATCTAATCAAACTTCTACGGAAACTAGGACAATTCAATTATGATTTTGCAAACAATAACTCAAAAAGAATTGAACTTGTTGAACATTGAGGAGATCACCAAAGAACCAAGAAATGAAATTCAGACCTTTGACTTTGGAATAACCTTGACAGCCACATCCTGGCCCTTCAAGCTCCCCTTCTTGGCCTTGGCAGAGCAAGTATACCCAAAATGCCCACGCCCCACTTCATCGCCAAGCTCATAATGAGCTACAAACTGTTTAGAAAACCCGAAATTCTTATCCAAGGCAACGTCACACTCACTTCCTTCAGGGATTGAGGCTTCATTGGGCTTAACAGAGCCATGCCTGCGAGCAAGCAATGCCCGAATGTGTTTCGCCGGAGAGGGAGGCGGGAAAGGTCGCTTAAAAATGCGCAGAGGCGTCGAACTCACGCTGGAGTTGGCAGGGGAGTTCTTGAAGAGACTTGGCAATGGACTTGGGCTGTAAAAGGGAAAGTTTGAGGATTTGGTGGAGTGGGAATTGAGTGCATAAGGCTCACTTTCACTGGGAATTGTGGAATCTTGCGATTGGGCTTTTGGGTTTTCTGTGGGTTTTCCATGACAGAGTCCCATGAATCACAAACCCAACAAACAGAAGAAAAAGTTTATTTGCAAGAATTAACAATGAAGATCACACAGCTCACAAAGTATGATGAGTGAAAAAAGAAAAAACAGTGAATTTTTAGACAATTAGGAAGGTGAAAGTGAGACTAAATTCAAGAACTTGGCGCTCATGAAACAAAATTCACACAGAATATATTCAAGGGAGGGAATTCTTAAAGCAGAACTGAATTGATCAAGAAAAACCCAGAAAGGATCATTGAATGAAGTCAATCCCAGAATCAAATTCCAAAGGGATTTTCACAGCAAAAGAGAGATACACAATTAGGGAAATCAATCTGAGAAACCAAGAAGAAAAGCAATGCAACTTTTTCTGATTAAACAAACAATGCCAGAGAGGAGAACCATCAAAAATTCAGCAGAACATGAAGCAAATTATAGGTGAGCAAGACAAGGAAATGATGGTGGGAAGCAAAAGCAAAGGGAAACTCAAGTAAAAAAAAATTCCAAGAGGAAGGAAGGAATGAGAGGAGAGGTGAAAAAAGTGAAGAAAAAGATGCTTAGCAGAGGCAGGAAGAAAAGAAAAGAAAGGGAAAAGGAAAACCCAAGGCCTCCTTTTTTCTGCTTTATGTAAGCTTTTCTGTTAATGGTTTCTGTGTGTGGCAATATCACTTTCATTTAGAGGGTGGAAGTTTCTTCTATTACTCTTGTTCACTGTGAATTCTTTCCTTGTATTTTCCTTTTCTCTCTCTCTCTCTCTCTATCTACATCTCTGGTCTCTGATAATAATAATTCATAATTATGGAAGTGGGGTTTGGGTTTGGATCCTTCCAGCCTGTCCTTTTTGATCCCTAAAAACGAAGATAGATATGTTGCCTTGTATCTGTAATAACAAGTTAAGAGTCTGTATGTGTATTTGAGCTTTGACCAGCTTTTGTTTGGCTTTGGATGGTTCCAAAGGTTTCTCTCAAGAAATACTAGAGATTTTTTTTTTTTTAATTCTTTTGTTTATGAGATAAATGCTAAAAAATTTAGGTGAACAGTAATATGCATGCAATACCTATTTGTAATTGGGTTAGGTTAAAAAAAAAAAAAAAGCAAGAATATGAGGAATGTGGGATGAGATGTGGAGTGCATAGAAGGGAAAATAATTGAAAGAGAGAGTAAGGAAAAAAATTGAAAGCTAAATAATGTACAATTTCTTCCTCTGTTTTTCTTTAAGAGAAACTACACAACAGAAAGTGAAAGGAGTTGTTTCATTTCAAGTTTGCGAAACTTGATAGAAGAAGCCAAAGTATCAGCTGCAAAGTTTGCGTCAAAAACTTGTCCATTAGTTTAGTAGCACACAATGTCTACTTTGTTTAAGAGAAAGTCTTTAAGTTTAAAATATGAACGACAGTTGTTGAATAAAAATAAATAAATAAACATGTTGAAATTGAATTTCTTCACATTTAAAGGAATAAACTAGATATTTCGAATTAAGGAGCCTAATTTGCTACCAGTGGAGCATCCGCCATAATTTCTTATAATTCTTTGTTTATTTCTTTTTCAGTGGTACTTCTTCTTTTATAACTAGCAAGGCAAAGCAAAAAAACCATAAGTTTCAAGATCAATGCTCTGATACCATGTTAAATAAAGGCAAGCTAGGTTCAAAGATTTAGGTGTCCTATACGACAATGATAAAAAGTCTCACATACACATAATGTGACATGAGAAACACGTGTATTGTGGAGATACCGTATCATAAATTTGATGCTTAGTAGTGTGGGACATTTTAATTTTCTTCATTTTAAAGTAAAATAAAAATTGTGACTCTTAAAGGACGTTTGAATGTGTTAGTTGAACCTCTCTAAAATTACAAAACAAATTTTAGGCCTCTTAAAAAATTATATGTTAACATATTTTCAATTTATTATATACGTAATTTTCTTTGTGATATTGTCATCAAAAGTTAGCCTTTACGATTTAATAAATAGACTTGTCATCAAAGGTCATCAAAAATTGTCCTTTCGAGCTAATAAATGGAAGCACTACAAGTCAAGTACATGGCAAGAAGCAAAGTTGCTTCCCTAGTTAAGCAGTATTCTCCATGTTTAGAACCAAATTGTGAGTTTGGTAACAAAAAGGAAAAACTCAACATCATTTTGCAAGGGAAATGCCAAAGAAAAGGTTTGAATCTAAATCAAACCCCCTACATGATCCATCTTAAAACACAAACCAAAATAAAAACTCACAAGCATAAGCAATCCATTCTAAAATGACCAAAGTAAAAAAGAAATTTTTTTTTTAGCTAGATTTAACGAAATTTCAGAAACTTAAACAAAAACACTTGCTAGAGAAAAAAAGTCAATATCAAAGACTTAGTATGATGGGTTGTGGGCTAGACACTTTAGGGGGAAAAAAATTGTGTACGCATCATGCAAGCCTGCAGGGGTCGTGGCCCCTCTAAGCTCCATGAAAAAGCCAATAACTCTTAAACACTTGCTGCAATTTCAGTTGAAATATAAGGCTACAGAACCTTGAAATTACAGTACTGGCCCCCTGCAAAGACAAGTTACTAGCTCCGCCACTTTGTAACCCATATATGTCGTTGCATGTCCGGTGATACCACATGTACCTCCCTAGAGACGATAGTAAATAATTGTTTGGAAAATATTTCAATATATTAATGGCATGTTTACTAATCCATGATTGGATTATGAGGAATTGAATTGAGGATTAATTGAATTGAGGAGGAGTTGGATTAAGGAGAATTAGATTCCGGATTCCTATTGAAGTTGTTTATTAAACCATATGGATTGAGGAGAGTTAGATTTTGAATTCTTATTTAAGTTGTTTACTAAACCTTATGGAATTTTTGTAGAAGTGGTGGTAAATAGTAAAATGTCCTCGTTGTTGAGTTAAAATAAATGACAAATTTGGAAATTTTAAAATTATGTGAGGATATAATGGGTAAAAAAGATGAATACCTAATGGATTAAATCTCTCGGAATTAGAATACCACCTCCCAATCAAGAATTGATTTCAATTCCTAATTTTGTGTGGGCCCCACTTACTTTTTAATTCCTTGATGTGAAGTGATCACAGGAATCATCCATCCTTAGAATTCAATTCCTAATTAGTAAACACACCATAAGTATTTATAGGAGTAAAATAAAAAGTTACAAGAGAAGAAAATATAATCGTTCACTTAAAACACTTAATTTGTATGAGTAACACCCAATTTTATCAAATTTAAGCAAACAATTTACATATGTGTCATGAACCAATCACTCATTTGATCTAAAATAATCGAATTGATTGTAATGTATAGACAAAGCATCCCAAACTATTAATTATATATCTTAGCAGCTCCTTGAAGCAAGTGAAGTGGAAAAGCTAGTGATTGGTATTTTATGGTTTCTTCTAATCCTTCTATTGAATCCCACCAAGAAAAAACCAAGCTGGTTGTTAGGTGACTCAGAGACAAAATCACACCAGAAAGAAACCCTTTATGGCCAGAACCAGGTAGAGACGAATTCTTGCACAATAAAATAATAAAAACTAAAGTCTCAAATGACACAAGAATTTAAATCAGATTGGGAAAGCTCTTTTTCAAAGGCCACTAGATAAAAGATGATATATTTAGGCAAAGGTTAACAAGGACCCCAATTATGCCCCCCTTTTATTGTAGAGTGGAGCTTTGTGCAAGACAAAAAAAAATTCTTATTCCTTGATACCCTCCTCTTTACCCCTTCTTTTTCTATAGAATAAAGTTTGGTATATATAAAAATGTCGGAGAATAAAAGTAGTATAGTTGTTCTCCCAGAGAGAGAGAGAGAGAGGGATTGATGGTTGGTGTGTGTATGAAAATTTTTAATTGCATGTGAACATGCAAGAACATGGGATACAGATGTTTTCCAAGGCAGTGCTGGGGATTGCTTGACTATGAAGACACTCTTGTAGAGCTTTGGTCAAATGTTTGTTAGCACCCATATTTGATTATAATTAGCATCCAATGCTAGTCATTTGCGCAAATCACGATATATATAGAGTGTTGCTTATTACAAATATATATATATATATATTTCTTTTGTGTGTGTGTGTTTGTGTTGGTCACACACATCACAAGTCCAAGAAAAGGTATTTTGATTATTGAAACTTTTTTATGGGGGATGAGTGTGTATTTCCTTGAGAAATGCAATTATTATGTTAATTATGGCAATTTGGCGACCCTGGTTTCATAATCATCCTCCTCTCTTTATGATCAAAGAGTAGTATCAGTTGAGTATTGTTACAATCATTAAACTTATTTACCAAATGACGCGATGATTTCTTGTTTATTTAAAGTTGGACCTACTCTAGACCTCATTTATTTTTAACAAAACTCTAATGTTCCGTTTCAATGGAGGGGTTTAAAAGAATGGATTTGAATTAGAAAACAAAGCTAAAATTGTTATAAAAATAAGAACCACATTCGATTTTGAAATAACTAGATGTATATAGGTTCAATTTCCCCCCTCTCCCAATATCGCTTTATTAAAAAAAAGGATTTGAAATGACTATTTATAAGGAATTATTTGAAACCCATTTATGTTCTTTTTGTCTTTCTAATCCAAATCTTGGCATACAAGAATTGTACTAGTCTAAACAAACTAGTTTACTTTATAATGTCATGTAAATCCATAGATTTGGAATCCCTCTAATCTAAATGAAGCCTAACATGTGTACAAAAACAACACGGGCAGGATGCTGATCATTACGACTAATAAACACTTTATGTGTAAATTTGATAGCCTAATCCTTAGTATATGATATTTCCTCGAGTTTATACTTTTTCCTTATAATAATCTAAGCCTTTTTATAAAAAAAAATTATATAAATAGACTCAATGAATAACTTTATAATCTAATAAGGTGTGGAACTTTGTTTTGGTATTTGGGTTAGGGTAATGCCTTGAGAAACGTCACTATTATATTGACAAAGTCATTTTGGTGGACCCCACTTTATCTTGTGTGTGGCATTGTTAGGTGACCCGCTACAAGCCATTTTTCATTTGTTGAGAAGGTCTGACCATTTGGGCTTGGAAAGGGATTCCCGTTTGGGAGTTTTTGATCATTGAATTTGGTGTGTGCTTGGGAAGACAATGCCAATTCATTTTGGCTCTCTGAATATTTTATTTTTATTTCTTTTTCTTTTTCTTTTTCTTTTGGGTCGGTGGACACGTGTCGAGAATCTGCAGGTCGGCTCTCTGACTATTCTTGCTTACAAAGATTATGCTTGGATGGAGTATCATAGGGATTGGAGATCCTCTGGCAATCCACAAAAATGTATTCCTCCTCCACTTTCTTTTATAATAATAAAATGTTCGATTCTTTATCGAAGCATCTTATTTTAAAGCTTAAACCCAACAAAAACAAGCATTAATTTACACCATTAGATTAAAGGGTCGTGAGTGGATGAGTAAATGTAAATATATAAATTTAAAAAAAACGCAAATAAATAAATATTTTATAATTTTCAATTTTCAATTATGCATCATTTATTCTCTCTCTCTCTCTCTCTCTCTCTCTCTCCAAAGTGGAGGCCGAATGAAAAAGCCAGATTCTTAGCCCAAGCATAAGCCCATTCTAGAAATGCTCCTACGTAAAGTTTAAAGATTCCCCGTGTTGTTTTCAGAACTCCAGTTTAGAATGTTTGTGCATTTAGGTACAAGAAAATAAAGCACCCAATATCGACATTAAAATCCAAATACTAAGCTAATGGAGATATCTTTCT